TATATTAGTGAGTAGTGCTGTGTCCTCTGAGGCTCATAATTAACCTTAACGATTCTGCTCCAAATTATGCAAAAAGGCAAAGCTATTTAATGGTGTCAAATCAGCCCATAGGAGCTAACCTAGCCACTTTTTGCTTGCAATAATTTCATATTCTTTCATACCAAGATCATAATATTATCTTTCCCTCTCTCTTCATCCTCAAACAACACAGAATGAACCTACCCTTCTACATAAAAGAATCAACCTACCCTTCTACATAAAAGAATCAACCTACCCTTCTACATAAAAGAATCAACCTACCCTTCTACATAAAAGAATCAACCTACCCTTCTACATAAAATAATCAACCTACCCTTCTACATAAAAGAATCAACCTACCCTTCTACATAAAAGAATCAACCTACCCTTCTACATAAAAGAATCAACCTACCCTTCTACATAAAATAATCAACCTACCCTTCTACATAAAATAATCAACCTACCTTCTACATAAATAATCAACCTACCCTTCTACATAAAAAAATCAACTAACCCTTCTACATAAAGAACTCACCCTACCTTCTACATAAAATAATCAACCTACCCTTCTACATAAAAAATCAACCCTACCCTTCTACATAAAAGAATCAACCTACCCTTCTACATAAAAGAATCAACCTACCCTTCACATAAAATAATCAACCTATCCTTCTACATAAAAGAATCAACCTACCCTTCTACATAAAGAATCAACCGTACCCTTCTACATAAAATAATCAACCTACCCTTCTACATAAATAATCAACGTACTCTAACATAAAATAATCAACCTACCCTTCTACATAAAATAATCAACCTACCCTTCTACATAAAAGAATCAACCTACCCTTCTACATAAAAGAATCAACCTACCCTTCTACATAAAATAATCAACCTACTGTACCATCAAATAATCAACGTACTCTAACATAAAATAATCAACCTACCCTTCTACATAAAATAATCAACCTACCCTTCTACATAAAATAATCAACCTACTGTACCATAAAATAATCAACGTACTCTAACATAAAAGAATAAACGTACTGTAACATAAAATAATCAACAGCACTTGTAATCTGTTGTGGGGGTTGTTTCCCATTCAGTTTCTTACGGTAAACTGATGTTCAGCAGGGTCTAATTAGAGTAGTGGGACCTTTACAGGGCTTTGGGCCACGTCCCAAAAGGCCTCCTATTCCCTAGATAGTGTCCTCATTCTCACCAAGGCCCATAGGGAACAGGGTGCCATTTGAAACACACCATTAGGTCCATAACAGGAAGATGATAGAGAGATGTATGACGCAACAGCTTTGAGCCGTGTCCCCTCTGGCAGACTGTACACTCCCACTCAGAAGGGTCAGTGACATGAATGCGTGCTTGAGACTGATGCTGTATGTATAAGTCCCCTGGGGCAGTGAGAGAGAGACATACACAGACACATGCACACACACACACACACACACACACACACACAGGCTCATGTACACTACCAGTCAAAAGTTTAGACACACCTACTAAGGGTTTTTCTTTATTTTTACTATTTTCTACATTGTAGAATAATAGTGAAGACATCAAAACTATGAAATAACACATATGGAATCACGTAGTAACCAAAAAGTGTTAAACAAATCAAAATATATTTTATATTTAAGATTCTTCAAATAGCCACCCTTTGCCTTGATGATAGCTTTGCACACTCTTGGCATTCTCTCAACCAGCTTCACCTGGAATGTTTTTCCCACAGTCTTGAAGGAGTTCCCACATATGCTGAGCACTTGTTGGCTGCTTTTCCTTCACTCTGCCGTCCGACTCATCCCAACCCATCTCAATTGGGTTGAGGTCTGGGGATTGTGGAGGCCAGGTCATCTGATGCAGCATTCTTTCACTCTCCTTCTTGGTAAAATAGCCCTTACACAGCCTGGAGGTGTGTTGGGTCATTGTCCTGTTGAAAAACAAATGATAGTCCCACTAAGCCCAAACCAGATGGGATGGCGTATTGTTGCACAATGCTGTGGTATCCATGCTGGTTAAGTGTGCGTTGAATTCTAAATAGATCACTGACAGTGTCACCAGCAAAGCACCCCCACACCATAACACCTCCTCCTCCATGCTTTACGGCGGAGATCATCCGTTCACCCACACCACATCTCACAAAGCCACAGCGGTTGGAACCAAAAATCTCCAATTTGGACTCCAGACCAAAGCACAAATTTCAACTGGTCTAATGTCCATTGCTCGTGTTTCTGGGCCCAAGCAAGTCTCTTCTTTTTATTGGTTCTCCTTTAGTAGTGGTTTCTTTGCAGAATCGACCATGAAGGCCTGATTCACACAGTTCCCTCTGAACAGCTGATGTTGAGATGTGTCTGTGACTTGAACTCTGTGAAGCATTTATTTGGGCTGCAATTTCTGAGGCTGGTAACTCTAATTAAACTCATCCTCTGCAGCAGAAGTAACTCTGGGTCTTCCTTTCCTGTGGCGGTCCTCATGAGACCCAGTTTCATCATAGCGCTTGATGGTTTTTGCGACTGCACATGAAGAAACTTTCAAAGTTCTTGAAATGTTCCGTATTGACTGACCTTCATGTCTTAAAGTAATGATGGACTGTCGTTTCCCTTTGCTTATTTGAGCTGTTCTTGCCATAATATGGACTTGGTCTTTTACCAAATAGGGCTATCTTCTGTATCACCCACAGCCAGGTGGGAGAACATAAATGCCCATCTCTTTACAGTTTCAGTTCCATAGGGAACAGTCACACCACCCGCCACTGTATATTACAATACACTATACATGTTAAGAGAATAAAGACATATTGATTCTCTGTGTCACGCAGGATATGGCTGTTTACATTTTTACATTTACGTCATTTAGCAGACGCTCTTATCCAGAGCGACATACAAATTGGTGCATTTTTTTTATTTTTAGAGTATATTTAAAATGTTCTATTCTGTTCACTTGAACGACACACTTGTTACTAAATATGTGTTACCATAATGCTTGTTGCTAAATATGTTACCATAATGCTTGTTGCTAAATATGTTACCATAATGCTTGTTACTAAATATGTGTTACCATAATGCTTGTTGCTAAATATGTGTTACCATAGTGCTTGCTACTAAATCTGTGTTAACATAATGTTTAGCATGCATGTCCAGGTACAGGGACCACAATATATTCAATATGCTAGATCCCATCTGTCCATATAGATGTTATACCCTGTACCTGGAGACAGAGTTCACATTCATAACCCTGCATTACATTACCGTAAGAGACAGAGTTCACATTCATAACCCTGCATTACATTACCGTAAGAGACAGAGTTCACATTCATAACCCTGCATTACATTACATTTCTGAGTATTATTCCAACCCAATAGTGTAGATGTATATACAAAACACAGGAAAATCACAATTTTGACTGCACTGGGCCTTTAACGTAAGAGACTGTTCAGAGTTCACTTTGATAACCCTGTATAAAAGGGGTGTCAAACATACCCCGCGAGGGGGTCCAATCCGGCCCCTGGGTGGTTTGATATACATTAAAATTACTACAACCAAATCAAAAAGATTAATAAATGTTAATGGACCTATTTTCATACAGTTTCTTGACTGTCCAGCTCACTAATAATCACTAGATAGTCAGGGGGAATAGAACATTCCAAAAAAGATGGATAGAGGACTATTCTTGGCATATTTTGAGGAAATAAGGAAATACAATCTAACTTCAGTGCGGCCCTCCGGACCTCGTTGAAGACCGAATGCGGCCCCTGGGGCAAAATGAGTTTGACACTCCTGCTGTATAACATTACCGTAAGAGACTATACAGAGTTCACCTTGATAACTCTGTATAACATTACCGTAAGAGACTGTACAGAGTTCACCTTGATAATCCTGCATTACCTTACCGTAAGAGACTATACAGAGTTCACCTTGATAACCCTGTATAACATTACCATAAGAGACTATACAGAGTTCACCTTGATAACTCTGTATAACATTACCGTAAGAGACTATACAGAGTTCACCTTGATAACTCTGTATAACATTACCGTAAGAGACTATACAGAGTTCACCTTGATAATCCTGTATAACATTACCGTAAGAGACTATACAGAGTTCACCTTGATAACTCTGTATAACATTACCGTAAGAGACTATACAGAGTTCACCTTGATAATCCTGTATAACATTACCGTAAGAGACTGTACAGAGTTCACCTTGATAACTCTGTATAACACTACCGTAAGAGACTGTGTAGAGTTCACCTTGATAACTCTGTATAACAGTACCGTAAGAGACTGTGTAGAGTTCACCTTGATAAGGAAGTAGCAGAGTTGTGATTGCTGTCAGTGAAAGAGCCAGCTAGTTGCTATACATCCTTTAATCAAAGTCAACAACACAGACGGAACAGACTTTGTTTCAGAGAGACAGTTGCATTTTGTTTCGTTAAAAGCTGAAGTGCAGCGAGCGAAAACAACAAAGAAGCCCACCATTTTTTATTTTTTATTTTTATACATACAGTTGAAAGTTTATTCAGAAGTCAGTAGTGAATTGGGAACAGTCAATGTTACAGCAATCAAATCCTATACAATGACAATGTATGCGGAAGTAAGGAGTTAGTTGAGTACACTCCAAAAGAAAACAACATCCTCACCAATAAAATCAATGACAGGCAGATACTCATATACCAATTCTTTACAGTCCCTGTCATTTAAAAAACCTAAAAGCCCTTTTTTTTTTGGATATAAATGAAAGCCAGTTAATCTAATGGAATGTTAATACAAAAAAGTCATGATAAATTCCACATAAAAATTGAAATAAAATAAAATCATATATACATACATACCTCTGTACAAAGCGGGAATATGGATTTTTAAAAAAGATAAACCACCGAATAAAAGGATGATGTTTTCTGTAACTATGGATACAAAAAGATAAACCACAGAATAAAATGATGTTTTCTGTTGCTATGTGCTCCCAGCTCCTTAGAGCGGGTGGGAGGGGTCAGAATGTCGGCCGTTATGTGCTCCCAGCTCCTTAGAGCGGGTGGGAGGGGTCAGAATGTCGGCCGTTATGTGCTCCCAGCTCCTAAGAGCGGGTGGGAGGGGTCAGAATGCCGGCCGTTAGTCACCAATCTGTCTACTGGTCTAAGTGTAAAAGACAGAACCAGAGAATGGTTCATTCACTCATTCTAATTCTATAGGTGGAACACAATCTCCTTCCATTACAAAAGGCCTGAACTAAGTGGTATCAAGTGAATCTAGTCAAAGATCATAGACGGTAGATAGCATCAACAAATTCAGTGACTAGTAATCATGTGCAACTGATTCCCCCTATCTACCTATGGTAAAATAGACATCATCATCACACTTGAGGCAAAATGAAAGGATCAACGAGGTTGTATCCCAAATGGCACCCTATTCCCTACGTAGTGCACTACTTTTTTTTTTACCAGAGCACTATGGGCCGTGGTCACCAGTAGTGACCTATATAGGGAATAGGGTGCCATTTGGGACACAACCAAAAATGAAAAGCTCAATAAGAGTAGGGTCTGAGTGAGGTACTCTTTTTCTACTCCTGGTCTGACAGTGGCTCTGTCCCAAATAGCTTCCTATTCCCTATATAGTGCCCTACCTTTGACCAGAGCCCTAAGGGCAGCGGTAGTCAGAAGCAGTGCACTATAGGAAATAGGTCTCCATTTGACAGCATCGAAAGTGTTGAGAGGGGATGAGGGGGAATTAGAGAGATTGCAGAGGAGAAAGAACCTTTGTTTTTAAATCGGGCGTATAATGTCAGTGTTCATTGTACAATGCCTGAATCGATGGACGCTTGTTTCCTGGTGGTCTTGGGGGGAGGGGGAGGAGGGGTCTTGCTGGGAAGAGGAGGTGGCAGATGCTAGAAAAATAGAACACAGAAATATAAAGCCACGTTATAACGACATTGTAAAGGCTTATACGTCCTTATAACACGTTATTAAACTTTATACCTGGATGCTTCAAGTCAATTAAAGAAAGATGAATATCTAGCATATCATTTCACAACTCAGCAGTTAAAGATGTTTGAGATTCTTCTGTAATAGGCTCCAGATGTAGAAAGCAATCCTCAGAAGTGAACTGAACGTCCCCTGGGACTTGGAGCAAGACAGAAAAACATGTTCTTTCTATTTAGCCTTCTAGGATTTGAGGCTGTAAAACACCCTGTAAAAAGCACAGCTTCACTTCTGCAACAGGGAGGTATTCACAATGACATCTAGTGACAATGACACTAGACAATGACACTGACTCCAGTTTACTGCCTGTCTCCCCCCCCCCCCCAGTGAGACTAATCTAGCCTGACTCCAGTTTACTGCCTGTCTCCCCCCCCCCCCCAGTGAGACTAATCTAGCCTGACTCCAGTTTACTGCCTGTCCCCCCCCCAGTGAGACTAATCTAGCCTGACTCCAGTTTACTGCCTGTCTCCCCCCCCCCCAGTGAGACTAATCTAGCCTGACTCCAGTTTACTGCCTGTCTCCCCCCCCCCCCCAGTGAGACTAATCTAGCCTGACTCCAGTTTACTGCCTGTCCCCCCCCCAGTGAGACTAATCTAGCCTGACTCCAGTTTACTGCCTGTCCCCCCCCCCCCCCCCAGTGAGACTAATCTAGCCTGACTCCAGTTTACTGCCTGTCCCCCCCCCCCCCAGTGAGACTAATCTAGCCTGACTCCAGTTTACTGCCTGTCCCCCCCCCCCCAGTGAGACTAATCTAGCCTGACTCCAGTTTACTGCCTGTCTCCCCCCCCCCCCCCCCCAGTGAGACTAATCTAGCCTGACTCCAGTTTACTGCCTGTCTCCCCCCCCCCCAGTGAGACTAATCTAGCCTGACTCCAGTTTACTGCCTGTCTCCCCCCCCCCCCAGTGAGACTAATCTAGCCTGACTCCAGTTTACTGCCTGTCCCCCCCCCCCCCAGTGAGACTAATCTAGCCTGACTCCAGTTTACTGCCTGTCTCCCCCCCCCCAGTGAGACTAATCTAGCCTGACTCCAGTTTACTGCCTGTCTCCCCCCCCCCCAGTGAGACTAATCTAGCCTGACTCCAGTTTACTGCCTGTCTCCCCCCCCCCCAGTGAGACTAATCTAGCCTGACTCCAGTTTACTGCCTGTCTCCCCCCCCCCCCCCCCCCAGTGAGACTAATCTAGCCTGACTCCAGTTTACTGCCTGTCTCCCCCCCCCCCAGTGAGACTAATCTAGCCTGACTCCAGTTTACTGCCTGTCTCCCCCCCCCAGTGAGACTAATCTAGCCTGACTCCAGTTTACTGCCTGTCTCCCCCCCCCCAGTGAGACTAATCTAGCCTGACTCCAGTTTACTGCCTGTCTCCCCCCCCCCCAGTGAGACTAATCTAGCCTGACTCCAGTTTACTGCCTGTCTCCCCCCCCCCCCCCCCCCCAGTGAGACTAATCTAGCCTGACTCCAGTTTACTGCCTGTCTCCCCCCCCCCCAGTGAGACTAATCTAGCCTGACTCCAGTTTACTGCCTGTCTCCCCCCCCCCCCAGTGAGACTAATCTAGCCTGACTCCAGTTTACTGCCTGTCTCCCCCCCCCAGTGAGACTAATCTAGCCTGACTCCAGTTTTACTGCCTGTCCCCCCCCCCCCCCAGTGAGACTAATCTAGCCTGACTCCAGTTTACTGCCTGTCTCCCCCCCCCAGTGAGACTAATCTAGCCTGACTCCAGTTTTACTGCCTGTCTCCCCCCCCCCAGTGAGACTAATCTAGCCTGACTCCAGTTTACTGCCTGTCCCTCCCCCACTAATCTAGCCTGACTCCAGTTTACTGCCTGTCTCCCCCCCCCCAGTGAGACTAATCTAGCCTGACTCCAGTTTACTGCCTGTCCCCCCCCCCCCCCAGTGAGACTAATCTAGCCTGACTCCAGTTTACTGCCTGTCTCCCCCCCCCCCCCCCAGTGAGACTAATCTAGCCTGACTCCAGTTTACTGCCTGTCTCCCCCCCCCCCAGTGAGACTAATCTAGCCTGACTCCAGTTTACTGCCTGTCCCCCCCCCCCCCCCCCCCAGTGAGACTAATCTAGCCTGACTCCAGTTTACTGCCTGTCTCCCCCCCCAGTGAGACTAATCTAGCCTGACTCCAGTTTACTGCCTGTCCCCCCCCCCCCCAGTGAGACTAATCTAGCCTGACTCCAGTTTACTGCCTGTCCCCCCCCCCCAGTGAGACTAATCTAGCCTGACTCCAGTTTACTGCCTGTCCCCCCCCCCCCAGTGAGACTAATCTAGCCTGACTCCAGTTTACTGCCTGTCTCCCCCCCCCCCCAGTGAGACTAATCTAGCCTGACTCCAGTTTACTGCCTGTCTCCCCCCCCCCAGTGAGACTAATCTAGCCTGACTCCAGTTTACTGCCTGTCTCCCCCCCCCCCCCCCAGTGAGACTAATCTAGCCTGACTCCAGTTTACTGCCTGTCTCCCCCCCCCCAGTGAGACTAATCTAGCCTGACTCCAGTTTACTGCCTGTCTCCCCCCCCCCCCCCCCAGTGAGACTAATCTAGCCTGACTCCAGTTTACTGCCTGTCTCCCCCCCCCAGTGAGACTAATCTAGCCTGACTCCAGTTTACTGCCTGTCTCCCCCCCCCCCCAGTGAGACTAATCTAGCCTGACTCCAGTTTACTGCCTGTCCCCCCCCCCCCAGTGAGACTAATCTAGCCTGACTCCAGTTTACTGCCTGTCTCCCCCCCCAGTGAGACTAATCTAGCCTGACTCCAGTTTACTGCCTGTCTCCCCCCCCCCCCAGTGAGACTAATCTAGCCTGACTCCAGTTTACTTTACTGCCTGTCTCCCCCCCCCAGTGAGACTAATCTAGCCTGACTCCAGTTTACTGCCTGTCCCCCCCCCCAGTGAGACTAATCTAGCCTGACTCCAGTTTACTGCCTGTCTCCCCCCCCCAGTGAGACTAATCTAGCCTGACTCCAGTTTACTGCCTGTCTCCCCCCCCCCCCAGTGAGACTAATCTAGCCTGACTCCAGTTTACTGCCTGTCTCCCCCCCCCCCCCCAGTGAGACTAATCTAGCCTGACTCCAGTTTACTGCCTGTCTCCCCCCCCCCCAGTGAGACTAATCTAGCCTGACTCCAGTTTACTGCCTGTCTCCCCCCCCAGTGAGACTAATCTAGCCTGACTCCAGTTTACTGCCTGTCCCCCCCCCCCAGTGAGACTAATCTAGCCTGACTCCAGTTTACTGCCTGTCTCCCCCCCCCCCCAGTGAGACTAATCTAGCCTGACTCCAGTTTACTGCCTGTCCCCCCCCCCCAGTGAGACTAATCTAGCCTGACTCCAGTTTACTGCCTGTCCCCCCCCCCCCAGTGAGACTAATCTAGCCTGACTCCAGTTTACTGCCTGTCTCCCCCCCCCCCCCCCCCCAGTGAGACTAATCTAGCCTGACTCCAGTTTACTGCCTGTCTCCCCCCCCCCCAGTGAGACTAATCTAGCCTGACTCCAGTTTTACTGCCTGTCTCCCCCCCCCCCCAGTGAGACTAATCTAGCCTGACTCCAGTTTACTGCCTGTCTCCCCCCCCCCCCCCAGTGAGACTAATCTAGCCTGACTCCAGTTTACTGCCTGTCTCCCCCCCCCCCCAGTGAGACTAATCTAGCCTGACTCCAGTTTACTGCCTGTCTCCCCCCCAGTGAGACTAATCTAGCCTGACTCCAGTTTACTGCCTGTCCCCCCCCCCCAGTGAGACTAATCTAGCCTGACTCCAGTTTACTGCCTGTCTCCCCCCCCCCCCCCCCAGTGAGACTAATCTAGCCTGACTCCAGTTTACTGCCTGTCCCCCCCCCCCCCAGTGAGACTAATCTAGCCTGACTCCAGTTTACTGCCTGTCTCCCCCCCCCCCCCCCCCCCCAGTGAGACTAATCTAGCCTGACTCCAGTTTTACTGCCTGTCCTCCCCCCCAGTGAGACTAATCTAGCCTGACTCCAGTTTACTGCCTGTCTCCCCCCCCAGTGAGACTAATCTAGCCTGACTCCAGTTTACTGCCCCCCCCCCCCGTGAGACTAACCCGACTCCAGTTTACTGCCTCCCCCCCCCCCCCCCCCCGTGAGACTAATCTAGCCTGACTCCAGTTTACTGCCTGTCCCCCCCCCCCCCAGTGAGACTAATCTAGCCTGACTCCAGTTTACTGCCTGTCTCCCCCCCCAGTGAGACTAATCTAGCCTGACTCCAGTTTACTGCCTGTCCCCCCCCCCAGTGAGACTAATCTAGCCTGACTCCAGTTTACTTGCCCTGTCTCCCTCCTCCCCCCCCCCAGTGAGACTAATCTAGCCTGACTCCAGTTTACTGCCTGTCTCCCCCCCCCCCCCCCCCCAGTGAGACTAATCTAGCCTGACTCCAGTTTACTGCCTGTCCCCCCCCCCCAGTGAGACTAATCTAGCCTGACTCCAGTTTACTGCCTGTCTCCCCCCCCCAGTGAGACTAATCTAGCCCTGACTCCAGTTTACTGCCTGTCCCCCCCCCCCAGTGGAGACTAATCTAGCCTGACTCCAGTTTTACTGCCTGTCTCCCCCCCCCCAGTGAGACTAATCTAGCCTGACTCCAGTTTACTGCCTGTCCCCCCCCAGTGAGACTAATCTAGCCTGACTCCAGTTTACTGCCTGTCTCCCCCCCCCCCCCCCCAGTGAGACTAATCTAGCCTGACTCCAGTTTACTGCCTGTCCCCCCCCCCCCAGTGAGACTAATCTAGCCTGACTCCAGTTTACTGCCTGTCCCCCCCCCCCCCCCAGTGAGACTAATCTAGCCTGACTCCAGTTTACTGCCTGTCCCCCCCCCCCCAGTGAGACTAATCTAGCCTGACTCCAGTTTACTGCCTGTCTCCCCCCCCCAGTGAGACTAATCTAGCCTGACTCCAGTTTACTGCCTGTCCCCCCCCCCCCCAGTGAGACTAATCTAGCCTGACTCCAGTTTACTGCCTGTCTCCCCCCCCCCCCCCCAGTGAGACTAATCTAGCCTGACTCCAGTTTTACTGCCTGTCTCCCCCCCCCCCCCAGTGAGACTAATCTAGCCTGACTCCAGTTTACTGCCTGTCTCCTCCCCCCCCCAGTGAGACTAATCTAGCCTGACTCCAGTTTACTGCCTGTCTCCCCCCCCCCCCAGTGAGACTAATCTAGCCTGACTCCAGTTTACTGCCTGTCTCCTCTCCCCCCCCCCCAGTGAGACTACTACTCTCAGTCGCCTGACTCCCCAGTTTACTAGCCTGCTCCTCTCTCCCCCCCCCCCCCAGTGAGACTAATCTAGCCTGACTCCAGTTTACTGCCTGTCCCTCCCCCCCAGTGAGACTAATCTAGCCTGACTCCAGTTTACTGCCTGTCCTCCCCCCCCCCCAGTGAGACTAATCTAGCCTGACTCCAGTTTACTGCCTGTCTCCCCCCCCCCCAGTGAGACTAATCTAGCCTGACTCCAGTTTACTGCCTGTCTCCCCCCCCAGTGAGACTAATCTAGCCTGACTCCAGTTTTACTGCCTGTCCCCCCCCCCCCCAGTGAGAACTAATCTAGCCTGACTCCAGTTTACTGCCGTTCTCCCCCCCCCCAGTGAGACTAATCTAGCCTGACTCCAGTTTTACTGCCTGTCCCCCGTACACGCCCCATTACTCCCCCCCCCCCCCCCCAGTGAGACTAATCTAGCCTGACTCCAGTTTACTGCCTGTCTCCCCCCCCCAGTGAGACTAATCTAGCCTGACTCCAGTTTACTGCCTGTCTCCCCCCCCAGTGAGACTAATCTAGCCTGACTCCAGTTTACTGCCTGTCCTCCCCCCCCCCCAGTGAGACTAATCTAGCCTGACTCCAGTTTACTGCCTGTCCCCCCCCCCCCCCCCAGTGAGACTAATCTAGCCTGACTCCAGTTTACTGCCTGTCCCCCCCCCCCCCCCCCCCAGTGAGACTAATCTAGCCTGACTCCAGTTTACTGCCTGTCTCCCCCCCCCCCCAGTGAGACTAATCTAGCCTGACTCCAGTTTACTGCCTGTCTCCCCCCCCCCCCCAGTGAGACTAATCTAGCCTGACTCCAGTTTACTGCCTGTCCCCCCCCCCATGGAGACTAATCTAGCCTGACTCCAGTTTACTGCCTGTCTCCCCCCCCCCCCAGTGAGACTAATCTAGCCTGACTCCAGTTTACTCACCTGCCGTCCCCCCCCCCCAGTGGAGACTAATTAGCCTGACTCCAGTTTACTGCCTGTCCCCCCCCAGTGAGACTAATCGTAAGCCTGCACTCAGTTTACTGACTTGCCTGTCTCCCCCCCCAGTGAGACTAATCTAAGCTGACCCAGTTTTACTGCCTGTCCCCCCCCCCCCCCCCAGTGAGACTAATCTATCCTGAACTCCAGTTTACTGCCTGTCCCCCCCCCCCCAGTGAGACTAATCTAGCCTGACTCCAGTTTACTTGCCCTGTCTCCCTCCCCCCCCCCCCAGTGAGACTAATCTAGCCTGAACTCCAGTTTACCTGTCCTTGTGTCCCCC